TCCTTTCCCTTCCCCCTGGATACGCCGCTGCTTCGACCCTTGTAATGAATTCTATGCCGGCTTATGCTTGAGCTCGTCTTTAATTGATGTTCACATTGTTATATATATATATATATATATATATATATATATATATATATATATATATATATATATAATTGTCTTCTTGTTGTTGTTACTGCATATGTGATTTAGGTATGAGCCTCTGGGTAGCGGGGAACAGGCAGATGAGAGAAGAGGACGTTCGGCTATCGAGATAGGCTTCCGGTGCACGACCCTTTCAAGCCCCCAGTACGCCACAGCGTAATAAACCCATTTATAGACGTAACAGAGTGGTGGAGGTGCTGGGTACAGCACGTCGACGAACCACGGAGCCACAGCTGTTTGAACTTCGCCGGAGCCGTCGTCTTGCCGGTCTCCCACCGACAACAACCGTCATGGCCGAGAGCGAAGGTTACGGCTTCTCAACCACGCAGAGGTCAGTGCCGGCTTCACATAGGTATCGCTATATGAAACCCCGCCCGTTCGCGGGAAGAGCAGGGGAAGATGTGGATGCGTGGCTGACACATTACAAAAAGGTGAGCCGGTACAACGGCTGGAATCCCACCGACCAACTGGGAAATATCGCGCTGTTTCTCACGGAAACCGCCTTGATGTGATACGAAAACCACGAAGATTCCTTAACAACGTGGGATCGTTTCGCCGAAGAACTCAATAAATGCTTCGGTGACTCTGATTCAAAAAAGAAAAGCGTGGAACGCACGTTGGCTCAAAGAGCCCAGACTCCTGGAGAAACGTGTACCACTTACATAGAGAAGGTTCTGATGCTCTGCAAGATCATAGACCCACATATGTCTGAAGATGACGTGGTCGGACACCTTCTGGAGGGTATAGCTGACGACGTCCGCAATTTTTTGATAGGCAGGGAAGACCTCACTTCCGTCTCCGCCGTCCAACGTCACTGCCGTACTTTCGAGAAGCTGAAGACTCGTCGTATTGCCCCGAAATTCGGTAGGCTGGCAAATGTAAAACTGGTCGCCAGCGTCGACGTGAACGCGCGCCTGCCGACCTTGCTGCTACTATCAGGGCAATAGTGCGCGAAGAGCTACAGCGACAAGACGTACAGGTCGACGATACCATCCATCATCTGCCTACCTGTTCTTCTTACTACCGGCGCCGTTCGCTCCTCTGCCACCATCGGTATGTGTGACGAACGTTACCGAAGCTGGAACTTCCTGGCCACGCCGAGACGCATTCGCGCTTGACCAGCGGTATGACCGACGCCTTCGTCCCGTCCCCGCTCCACAGAGGCGGGCAGTTCCAGTTCAGCAACCTGCTCTACTACATTCGGGTAGGCAACCTTACACAGCGGAGCGCTTTCAGCAGTGGTTCGGCGAACGAGCCCTACCCGTCTGCTACAACTGTGGCGTCGAAGGCCACGTTCCCATGTACTGCAACTACCGGCAGCCGCCGAGGTACGACCGCTCACCGAGATCCCACCTGCCCGGCTTTGCACGAGCACCAACGTTCCCTGGAAGCGCATCCCACGAGATACCAGCTGCGAAACCGTTCTCCGGCCTCTGACCGCAGTCTGACCCCACCAGCCCCTCGCTCCAATCGGTCACCGTCTCCTATGCGCCACTACTTTTTGCCGCCTACGGAAAACTAGTCAGCGCGACCATTGGAGGTGAGGTCGCTTGACAGTCTTCGATTTCAACAGAAATCCCTCTTTCGGAGGCATTTCGTGCGCTTATCGACGGTGTCTCAACAATGGCCTTTGTGGACACAGGTGAAGCCATATCAGTGATGAGTCTAGCATTCAAATTCCTTCTTGGACGAAAGGTTACGTTCCGTTGGGACCGTGCTGATACGTTTCGTGGAGTGAGTGGAGGTGTCTTACAACCTGTTGGTGTCTGCAGAGTGACTGTTAGTTTGGGAGGTCAGAATTTTATTTCTGATTTTTCTGTTCTCTTTCATTCAACACATGATGTAATTCTAGGACTTGATTTCCTGAATCTTTGTGGTACCACTGTCGATTGCCGCACAGGAGAGATTACGGTAGATTCAAGTGTTCCAGTAGCGTTTATGGAAAGCCCACCCTGTATGGAAAGCACACTTTGCGTGTCAATGGACACAACTGTACCACCTTTGTTTGTCAAGTGTGTTCCTGTCATCAGCTCTCTTCCAACAGAGACGACATTTGATGCCACCATGGAGCCCATTTACCTCAGCTGCATAAAGAAAAATGTTCTAACACCCTATTGTACGTTGTCGGTTGTGCAAGGGCGTACTGGTTTGTGGGTGATCAATGGCTCCAATGAACCTTAGGTGCTGCCAGAGGGTCTACAGCTTGCTAAGATCCGTCAACATCAAGTGTTCTCCCTTGCCATCCTTGCAGAGAGCAGCGATTCTCCGGATAAGCCTAATTCCGATCACCTGAACGCCAGGGACACCTCCGTAATGGCAATGATTGACAAGTCTCTAAGCACCAACGAGCGTAATTACCTGGCGAGTATTCTGCGTAAACATGCTGGTCTTTTCGATTTCGCACAGCTACAGGCTCCACTCTCATTCCCTGCTTCTCGTGTAAAGCGCCGAATAGATACAGCATACCATAGACCTCTCCGACAAAAGCCATACCAGGTATCGCCTTCGGAACGCGCAGTAATAAATGAACAGGTTGGCGAGATGCTAAAGAAGAATGTGATTCAGGAATCATGCAGTCCGTGGGCCACTCCCGTAATATTGGTCAAGAATAAAGATGGAACATGGTGATTTCGCGTTGACTACCGCCGTCTCAACGCCATCACAAAGAAGGACGTATACCCACTACCACGTATTGATGATGCTATAGACTGTCTTTCATCAGCCTCCTACTTTTCGTCTGTTGATTTGAGGTTGGGTTACTGGCAAATTCCAATGCACGAGAAAGACAAAGAGAAAATGGCATTTGTTACACCAGATGGACTTTTTGAATTCAATATAATGCCATTCGGGCTATGCAATACGCCTGCAACTTTTCAGCGCTTCATGGACAATATTCTGCGTGGTTTGAAGTGGGAAGTATGCATGTGTAATCTGGACGATGTTGCGATTTTTGAGCGCACTTTCTGTGAGCACAACACACGCCTCGACCTCGTGCTGAACTGCCTAAGCAAAGCACGCTCGGTGCTCAACTCAAAGAAATGTCGTTTCGGAGAACGCCAAACACTCGTCCTTGGACACTTGGTGAACAAAGAAGGCATACGGCCGGATCCCGTGACGACGGCTGCAGTGAAGGCGTTCAAGCAACCTCACTCAGCAAAAGAACTACGCAGCTTTTTGGGCCTCTGCTCGTACTTCCGTCGATTCATCGCTGGATTTGCCAATATCGCGCACCCACTCACGTGCCTGCTTCAGAAAGGCGTGCCTTTGACTGACTCCGGATGTACTCGCCGCTTTTTCTGAGTTGAAGTTCCTTTCAACATCCCATCCGATTCTTCGACACTTCGATCCTCTGGCTCCCACAGAACCATCACACAGACGCTAGCGGTGTCGGTGTAGGCGCCGTGTTGGTTCATGCTGCTTTTGTGGTTCTATGACAGGACCTCCTAAAATTGTTATCAGTGATCGTGGGCGACAATTTCGCTGCAGATGTGGTGGAGAGATGCTTCGTCTATGTGCTTCAAGCTTTCGGCACATCTACGCCATATAATCCCCAAACAAACGCCTGACGGAACGAACTAACAGGACTCTCACGACCTCGCTTTCTATGTATGTCACAGCAGATCACAAGAACTGGGACGGCGTGCAACCTTTCATCACTTACGCATTTAATACCGCACAGCATGAAACTACCAGCTACAGTCCGTTCTTTCTTCTGTATGCTCGGCCGCCTCGTCATACCCTGGATACTGTCTTTCCGTTTTTGGACCACCATGATTCTGGTATATCCGAGATCGTCTGCCATGTAAAAGAAGTCCGACGTCTTGCTTACCTGCGCACCCTCGCGTCGCAAGATTGCTCGGAGACACATTTTGACCGTCAACGTCGACACGTGACGTACAATCGCGAAGACCTCGTGTTGTCGTGGGCACCAAACCGAAAACGTGGGTTGTGTGAAAAATTGCTGGCACACTATGCGGACCTTATGTTGTTCTAGACCGTATAAGTGATTTAGCTTACCGCGTAGCACGTCTTTATTCAAATGACCAACGGTTTGCAAAGACTTAACTTGTACATATAGCACGTTTGAAGCGTTATATCCCCAGAGTGACTCTTTAACTCACCCGGTGGGCTTCGTCTGCGTGGAGGGTAATATTACTGCATATGTGATTTGGGTATGAGCCTCTGGGTAGGCCTCCGTGGCACGACACCTTCATCTACCGGTACGCCAGCGGAGTAAACACATTTCTAAACGTAACAATATATATATATTATATATAATATATATATATATATATATATATATATATATATATATATTATATATATATATATATATATAATAATATATATATATATATATTCGTGTGTTCTTCCCCCGCGTAAGGCTACATCACATAGAAAAGCAAATATTTCTTGCATAACAAACGATACCTTTAGTTGCCTTTAATTTAGACCGTGGCTTTTATAAGTGAAACCAAATGCTAGACCCCATTGCCTGAAATAAAATCCCGTAGAACCAAGAACTTACCCAAAATTAAATTCGAGTCTGAAGTTTTTTTCCCTTGACACAAATTATTAAACCTGGGGCAAAAGGTCACTCGTAGAAGTATAACTCCAGTGTCACAGGCTTTGAAAACAAGGAAAAGGACGCTGTTTATGGCAGTGGCTGACATATAATAGCAGAAATCTTCATAAAAAGGTTACAAAGTGTCATTAAATAAGAACGACAGGACGACACTGAACAGACAAAAAGGTGTTGATCAATGATGTTTTTGAAGCGTCTTTTGAATGTCTGAAAAGTGTGAAGGCGTTCGCTTAGACACCATAAAATAACTAGCTGGCATTTCATAAAGTCTGAGCTCTGCCCGTACGTTGATTTTGTGCCTCTCCAGTGAACGTAGTAACAAAAAAACTGCAAGAATACTTCATGTGAGTATCATCAAGTATGGTTTTCCTATCAAATAATATTCGTCTAATGTCTCATTGACAATTGAGAAAATTAGCGTCGTACACTTAGAGTTTCACATGTTGAGACGCCAAAATTGGATTGCCCATAATGAATTTCGCCAGCAAATTTAGCCTGAGCTATTTGGAATGAACGTTCATTAGTAATCGCGTCAAATTATTGCCTTTGTCTCCGAAGCGCATGTGAAAATCTGTGATGCGTTGTAAGCGTTGTAAGTAACATTTATTTCTTTCTATGAATTCCTCAAATATTTTTGAAGGTTTCTTAGAAGTGCGTGAATTACTAATGTTTTACGTGACAAAACTTGCCGATTGCGTTTATTTTATACGTACACCTTCTCTGCACAAGGGTCAAATATGGATGTGTAATTAAGCATATACTTGTCGGAATATGGGATAAGGTTGACACATGGCTAAATAAGCGTCTATAGAATCAAAGAAATGATTAGAGGAGGGGGGATGCGAAAACTGGTTTTATCGTATCCGGGACTCTAGTGGCTGCCGCTGCTAGCCCGGCATGACTCATGAGACAACTTAGAAATAACTTAGGTGAAAATATGGCAGAATAATTTGTGAAAAGTTATATCACTGTGCTTGTGGTACGCAAACTAAATGCTAAACGTAGCACTTGACGAACGCTAACCATTACTGCATTATAAGGAAAAAAAGACTGTTACAGCATCAACCTGTATTAAGGCACTGACAGCAATATATATATATATATATATATATATATATTATATATATATATATATATATATATATATATATATTATATATATATATATATATATATATATATATAATATATATATCGTATATATATATATATATATATTATATTATATATAATATATATATATATATATATATATATTGCTGTCAATTTTCGGGAACGAATTCCAGACATCGCAAAGGGGACAGCCATAGTGTCTTTCTTCATGAGCATTGTGAAGCCACACAAATATGCAGTCTTGAAACAACGTCAACGGATATGAAACCAACACATGATGTCTGGAATGTCTGTAAATCCCAACCTTTCAGTGATCCAACGTCAACAGCTATACGACCTTGTACGGAAATTTGGCAGCTGTTTCTCGAAGAGTTCGAAGGTACGACGCACGGCCATTACATAACACAGGATCGTAACGGACGAGACAACCAGGCCGGTACGCCAGCACCCGTACCGTGTTTCACCAAAAAAAAAAGAGAACTTATCAAGAATACAGTACGGGAGATGCTTGAAGATGATGTTAATCAACCTTCTAGCAGTCCGTGGGCATATCCTGTAGTACTTGTCAAGAAGAAGGATAACACGTTGAGGCTTTGCGTCGACTACTGGAAATTAAATGCTGTGACTAAACGGGATGCGTACCTCCTTCCACGTATTGACGACACATTAGACCGACTTCAGTGTGCCAAGTTCTTCTCATCACTAGATCTGAAAAGTAGATACTGGCAGATCGAAGTTGATGAACGTGATCTCGAGAAGACTGCTTTTGTTACCCCGGACGGACTCTATGAATTTAAGGCTGTCCGTTTTGGTCTCTGTTATGCGCCAGCAACGTTCCAACGCATGATGGACACTGTACTTTCCGGATTGAAGTGGCAGTGTTTCTTAGTGTACCTTGACGACGTGGTCATCTTCGTCGCTACACTCGAGGAGCATATCAAGCGCCTGCGAACAGTGTTAGAAGCAATACGTTCGGCAGATTTAACCATCAAGCCAGAGAAGTGCCAATTCGATTTCAAAGAACTTCGATCCCTTGGGCACGTCGTCAGCGCCCATGGTGTTCGCCCTGATTCCGAAAAGGCAGCCGCTGTTGCAAGGTTCCCGGTGCCAGCAGATAAAAAGTCAGTACGGAGATTTCTAGGTGTGTGTGCTTACTATAGACGATTTGTCAGAAATTTCTCGCAGATCGCAGAAACCTTGACGAAACTTAGGAGAGATGTGCCTCTACAGGGGGAAACCGAGCAACAAAGCACCTTCAACGAATTTAGAAAACGGTTACAAAAGCCCCCAATCCTTTCTCACTTCGATGAAGCAGCTATAAACAGCGCGGTTTCAAGCCTTGCATTAGAAGGCCTTTGAGGTGTCTGCAGCGCTAAGGTGAATGTACTTCAGGAATGCCGCGCAGACATTGAATTCCGTTCAAAGTGACTTCAAGGTTCTTCCCCTCCCTAATATAGGCTCTCTAAATATCCTCTGTCAATGCGGTGGGTCTACCAGGTGGGAGAAACGAACCGTATTAACAGCATTTAATACAAACTCCAGTCTCGAACATGTCTTTCCTGCTCTACAAAACGTTGGCTAACTTAAGACAACAACCCTTCGACTTTCAAAGCTTGCTATGTAAAAAAAACTACCCCCTTCTTGTCGAAACCCGCGCTGCCTTCAATATAAATGAGCGACCACACAGAACCAACATGGCGGCCCATCAAATATGCCGGCCGTTGTCGCCAGTTGTAAGCAACCATGATCGAAGTGGACACTACCCTAAAACACGGAGACGCACGCACATGAAGGCTCCCTATGCCATGGTCTCGGCCTTAATTCGGGACGCGAGCGTAGACGGGTTTACAGCTTCCGCGTCCAGCCAGGCCAGGAGTTCAGCCGTTCTGTCTTCGCACCATTCAAACTAGCATCTGCTGCGCGAAAGGCGCGGCGCGGTGGTCAAGAGAATGATGATGATGTCGCACTACAGGGCTTCCCCCCCTAGCACTTAGCGCGATTTCTAATGTGTAAATAAAGAAGATGTAAAGAAACTATATCCATGAAAAATCATAAGGTGTCCGTTTGGGAAGTCCAGGTTGTCAACGTGGTTCGGCCATCGGGAAGTAGTGGGTTTCCGGCGGGCGGCTCTGGGAGTTGCTAAGCGTGCTGACGGACATGGCAACGTGTCCGAATAACGGCGTCACGTGCCCTGCGGGTAGTCAGGTGCCCGGCAAGTGGATGGCCATTGCATCGGGCAGACCTAGTGAACGTTTGCGCCGTCTTGAAGGCCATGGCTGCAACGCGTGACTTCGTAGCAGGGCTTTTCAAAAAGGGCCGCAATGTTATACGCTGAGCATGTTGACTTCGTCGACGAAGTCTCACGGGTGGTAGACATACAGGATGAATGGGCGTCGTCACTGTTGTGACCAGCAAGCCTGCTTCATGGACACGCGTTTGGTGGCTGCCGTCCGGTGTCAGAGGTTCCGGGGGATGGTGTTTGAGGAACCCAGTCAGCATAGGCTCTGCCAGAAGATCGGGCTGTATGCCAGTTTTCGTGAAATGACCTGTGGTTGTCCAAGCACTAGGGTTGGCGTGCAGGTCCGCATAATCACTGGACGTCTTCATCGCAGGCTGTCATGTCTGGTGTGCCCTGCCGTAAGCGTGCCAGGCACGTCATTCTCAAGCACGTCTGTAATATTTGTAGCGTCTCTGAATTTCGGACGTAGTTCAATGGGGAATTGAACTTCCGCTGCAGAAGCCTCAGAGGGCGACATGGTCGCTGCTTACAAATCCGAGAGAGCGTCGAGTTGAATAAAAGTTTGGGTCAGTCGATGACAGGTCGGGTGATAACAGTGTCTGTGGCAGGCTCCAGGGCGCGCGGTGAGGTTGCCGTCGTGGAGCCTGACGCATTTGAGGTGTTGTCGGCCGTGGAGGTCGGCCAAGACGAGGGGGTGGCGAGCATGCTTAGAGTAGCGTCGGACGAGGATGTTGAAAAAACGCACCTCGTGGCTGACTGGTCGCATGAAGCAGGAATGTCTAGAACATCGTCGAATGGGCAGTCGGACGCTGGACGAGAGGTTGTAGGAGACGTCAGATGGGCAGTCGCTATTGGCTGGATGGGAGATTGTAGGTAACGTAGCCAGGAACGGGAAGTCTTAGTCGAGGCAGGGATGATGGCCGGTTGATACCACTCGCTGTGGCTCACAGGAAACCGGGAAGCCAGGCACGTGAACTCGTTTTTCAATGGAGGGATGCGGGCCGGTTGGTAGCGCACGATGTGACGCAGTGGCAACCGCGACGTCGCGGGACCACTGAAGCGGGTGGTACGTGAGGCCAGAGCAGGTTAGCAGTGCAGTGCAGAGGGCGTAATATAGCTGCGGGTTTGTGGTTGATTTGGCAGCAAGATGACGTAACTCGGGCGGCAGCGTCTCGAGCAAGATGGCGTGCATAAGCGACTGGCCCGTGACGCCATTGACAGCGAGAACGGCGTCGAGCTGCATGAGCCATGCCTGGGGTAAGGTCGGGTGGAACGGCGGCACTGGCGGGCAGAGAAGCATGGTAGCCGATGGATCGTCGAACCTTCAGTTCACCAGGTCTTTCAGGTCCGGAACGGTTTTGATTGATTGATATGTGGGGTTTAACGTCCTAAAACCACTGATGATTATGAGAGACGCCGTAGTGGAGGGCTCCGGAAATTTCGACCACCTGGCGTTCTTTGCACCCAAATCGGAGTACACGGGCCTACAACATTTCCGCCTCCATCGGAAATGCAGCCGCCGCAGCCGGGATTTCGGTCCGGAACGGTGGCAGAGGCGGGTCAATGTGCGGCTGCAAGGCTTGAGCTGCCTGGAACATGGCCACGAAGCTCAAAGGCTTATTCATGTTTTATTACAAAAAATGAAGCAGTTTGATTTTCTTCAGTCTAATGACCGACTAAAGGCCAAAAAGCGCTATTAGGTGCATCACAGTGTAAGGAATGAAGACGACACTGGAATACACCCACAGTCCTGTGTATGTTTTTTTAATGTCCTTGATCGTTCATTGCGCGTGAAACATCAAATTACGCGGCACAAAATAGCCCAAGCTCAATCTTACTGAATTCGCCTCGTATGATTGTAAATACAATTATGCGTTTATGAAAAGGTATATATATATATATATATATATATATATATATATATATATATATATATATATATATATATATATATATAAATATAAATATATATATATATATATATATATATATATATATATATATATATATATATATATATATATATATATATATATATATATATATATATATATATATATATATATACACTTCATCTGCAGCATTGTAACAAAGAGGCATTACAGTTGCTGAGCTGCGAAACTTACCCAGCTTACCAAAAAGGTCTTTATTTTATGACATCACTATGTTTCTTGATGTAGTCATACAATCATACAAGCCCTATTGCTATTAATCTCTTGATGTACTTGTTCACTCTGGCCGGTGGAAGTTGCTTGAAAATAAAATGCATATAATGAGAATCTAACAATTTACCAATATCTTGCAGAGCGTGATGCTTTCGCCAGCTACCATTGGAATCATATGTGCTGTTATTTGTACGGCCTTTGGTAAGCGCCTTTCTTATATTTTGATTACACAGGTACACAAAGACTTTTCTTATTCTTATCAATAGCAGTTGTGCATAAGTAGCTTGTATGCTTTCTGGATACTTTCGTGGAACGGCTATCTTAAAACAACTTATTTGAAACAACAATGTTACTGCATATGTGATTTGGGTATGAGCCGGTGGGTAACGGGGAAGAGGCAGATTAGAGAAGAGGACGTTCGGCTAGCGAGATAGGCCTCCGGTGCATGACCCCTCGAAGTCTACCAGTACGCCTCAGCGTAATAAATACATTACTAAACGTAACAGAGTGGTGGAGGTGCTGGGTACAGTACGTCGACGAACCACGGAGCCACAGCTGTTTGAACTTCGCCGGAGCCGTCGTCTTGCTGGTCTGCCACCGACAACAACCATCATGACCGAGAGTGAAGGTCACGGCTCCTCAACCACGCAAAGGTCAGTGCCGGCTGCACATAGGTATCGCTATATGAAACCCCGCCCGTTCGCGGGAAGAGCAGGGGAAGATGTGGATGCGTGGCTGACACATTACAAAAAGGTGAGCCGGTACAACGGCTGGAATCCCACCGACCAACTGGGAAATATCGCGCTGTTTCTCACGGAAACCGCCTTGATGTGATACGAAAACCACGAAGATTCCTTAACAACGTGGGATCGTTTCGCCGAAGAACTCAATAAATGCTTCGGTGACTCTGATTCAAAAAAGAAAAGCGTGGAACGCACGTTGGCTCAAAGAGCCCAGACTCCTGGAGAAACGTGTACCACTTACATAGAGAAGGTTCTGATGCTCTGCAAGATCATAGACCCGCATATGTCTGAAGAGGACTTCGTCGGATGCCTTCTGAAGGGTATAGAGGACGTCTACAATTTTTTGATAGGCAGGGAAGACCTCACTTCTGTATCCGCCGTCCAACGTCACTGCCATCTTTTCGAGAAGCTGAAGACCCGTCGTATTGCTCCGAAATTCGGTAGGCTGGCAAATGTCACAACGGTCGCCAGCGTCGACGTAAGCCCGCCTGCCAACCTTGTCGCTACTATCAGGGCAATAGTGCGCGAAGAGCTACAGCGACAAGACACACTGACCGACGACACCATCCATCATCCGCCTACCTGTTCATCCTACTACCCAGCACCTCCACCACTTTGTTACGTTTAGTAATGTATTTATTACGCTGAGGCGTACTGGTAGACTTCAAGGGGTTATGCACCGGAGGCCTATCTCGCTAGACGAATGTCCTCTTCGCTAATCTGCCTGTTCCCCGCTACCCACCGGCTCATACCCAAATCACATATGCAGTAACATTATTGAGGCGCCTCCGCGAAGCACGCTTTTTCAGCGCTCTGAGGGGCAGTATTTAGGAGGAATACAAAATGCGGGGAAGGGGAGAAAAGTAGGCAGTGGTGCGTTCTGTTGAATAATAATAAAAGATTTTGAGGGAACACGACATACCAACGATGCTCCTGCATATGTCTGAGGTATAATGCAAGGATGAACTTCAGCTTTTTAAATGTTTGTGTATGCACACGACGAAAACGGACCACTTCTTTCCGTGTGAAAGGTCCCGGTGATTGTTGGTATCACCGTCGCTGGCATGTGCAACTCTGTGTGATTTCGCGATACGCGAAAAGAGGGGACCCCTGTTCTGTGTGTGATCGGGGGTGTGATAACCAGCACTGTCTGTGGGGGTATTCGGAAACGTCTAGTCAAGTTCATTAGTATTCGTTCGTTCATTGCACGCACGTTAGGTTAAGTATACACGCACACATGCTGCTGTCAGAGGAGACCATGCCTTATGTATTCATTTTTTTTAGGTGAAGAAAGATCTCAAACCGACAGTAATGTCTGCAAAACGGAAGAATGCGAGGAGCTTGGTAAAGTGAAATTCCTTTCTTTAGTATTTGAACAGCCAAATATTGCAATGACTCAGTTTTTGTATACCATAGCATTGTCCATGAATGTAGTTGGAGACGGGCAAATGTTGTTTCGTGACCCCTAATGTGCGAAGAAAGCAGTTGTATGTGGAAGTTCGTACCATTCAACAAAATGCTACTGTATTGTTAGATATGATTCAAGCTAAACCCGTAAACGTGCAGAGGAGCAAGCAAACCAGAGAAAAACGAGCGAGAAATGATGAAATAAAAAAGCACGAAAAGTCGAGCATTACACAGTAAGTCAAACATTGCAGGTCATAAATCAGGTTCAATATTTACAAAACGTATCCCATACGTGAAAGCGTTTCTTGATTAGCCGTTCATTAAAGCTCACTACTCCTCATAGAAATAGGCGTAATAACAATACGATTAGTGATTAAAACTAAGAAAGTTCTAAAGGTTTCTGAAAACGGAACCGGTACCACGTAGCAGTCAGATACCCGTTGACGCATTGACCATTGGTGCAATCAAGTATATTAGGTATAACGGAAAGGCAAACAGTGGAGGGCATGTTACTCGCCCACATTATTCCGCTTTAGAAAATCATAAAAAGTCAACCTATCCATTATTGGTACCACCCGGTTTATAAACAAAAAACAACAGTCATGACTGAATTCGTGTTCTCTGTCGATCGCACTCGAATATTTCTTCACTTTTGGGAATCGTCATGCCTGGACAACACCTCACTCCATCGAGAAACTCTAGGTTCAATGGCTTAGCTATTCAGCGTATACCGGAAATTATATCCTCAAGGCGGCACACCGAAAATAGTACGTCAGTAAAATCATGTGATTATGAGCCTTTATTCTTTTTTGATGTGACATCCTTACAACCATTTGACATGGTGCTAGTGAAATGACACATAAAATTTAAAAAAAACGTTTCTACCATCCAGGTGTAGCTGCCTTTGGTGTATACTTCCCTGCGTTGCCTTTCAAATTTATTTTTGCACTGAAGGAAGTTCGCTGGTATAAGTACTTTATTTACAAGCTAATGAAAGATAAGTGCGTTGCAGAGAAAGCAAAGTGGAAGATGAGGCTCTATAGCAAAAGTTTTACGCTGATGTTAAGTTTTATGACTTTATAGCTAAGCAGTGTGAGTAACCACCCTCTAAGGCTAAACACGGTTTGTCAAACATGTCCAAAATTCAGGTCGCTTCACTCACATTCACTTTATTACCTTAAAGACCCCCTAGAGGGGGTATTACATAAGGGGTGGGAAACATACAACAAATGTAATACATATGCAGGATGGGTATAAGTATGAACAGGGGTAACCAATACAGAAATAAAATAATACATGTGCAGGATCAGTATACACAATAACGGCGTAACACCTTAAAAAAAAAAAAGAGAAGACAAAGCGAGAACCAGTGGCACAAAAAGGAACAATGCAATGTATTCAAATTAAAAAGAAACGAGTGACATTTTGTGTAAATGATGAGTGGCCCATTATGGTGGCGATATTAGTGGAAAGGCGATTCCAGTTGGAAGCTGCACGAAAAAAAAAGAAGGAGGCGGAAAATGTCGTGGTACGGGCACGTGGCCGGCCGACATGAAAGGAATGAGTGGTGCGGTGATGTGCGACAGGAGGCAAGATTTAGGGTGGGTGGCCGAGTCGACTGTGATAGAGCTTGTGGAACAAAACGAGGCTGGCAACTCGGCGAGAAACGTTAAGGTTTGAAAGATTAGATCATTGTTTAAGAGATCACTCACGTTATACGAATACGAGGAATAATTGAATCTAGCTGATCGATTCTGGAGTGATTCTAGTGCGTCGGTTAAGTACGCTGGATGAGGGCTCCAGATAGGCGACGCGTTTTCAAGTTGGGTGCGAATTAAAGATTTATAAGCTTGCAGATTTACAGGAGGGGGAGCATGACGTAAGTGCTGCTTTAAGAATCCAAGCGATCGGTTAGCTGATGATATGATATTGGTAATGTGGACGCGCCATGATAAATCGTTACTCAAAGTGACTCCCAAGTACTTGTAAGTGATGACATTTTCCAATGCAACTTCACCGATTTGGTAAGAATAGGTGAGGGGGCTGCGCCGATGGTGAAACGAGAGAGACTTGCATTTATTAGGGTTTAGTGTCCTTAGCCAACGATAGCACCAGTTAAGCACATGGTTAATGTCATCTTGCAATGCAACTTGGGCTGATGTGTTAGTAATAGTACGGTATGTTACGCAATCATCTGCAAACATACGAATATCGCTGTATACATGAAAAGGTAGATCGTTAATGTATATTAGGAATAATAGAGGTCCAAGAACAGATCCTGGCGGGACGCCTGATGTTACTGCCGGAGGGTAAGAGTTATGTCCATTAACCATAACGAATTGGTAACGATTAGTCAAAAGTTCTCGAATCCAAGTTAAAATTTCAGGGTCTAAGTTTAGTTTCGAAAGTTTTAACATCAAGCGGTTGTGGGGTACTTTGTCGAATGCCTTTGCAAAGTCAAGAAAGTAGTGTCAGTTTGTATGTTATTGTCCAGGTTAGTGTGCAGATCATGAACGAAAAGAGCAAGTTGGGTTTCACAGGAAAATTTTTTTCAAAATCCATGCTGTACGGAATGAAAAAAATTATTAGTCCAAGAAGTGCATGATTTCAGTGTAAATGACGTGTTCGATGAGCTTGCAAGGCTCGCTTGTTAAGGAAATGGGGCGATAATTGAGAGGACATGATCTATCGTCTGATTTGAAGACTGGAATGACCTTTCCCATTTTCCAGTTTATTGGTAGGTTACCTGTGGATAATGACTGACAGAACAACAGTGATAATTATATGGCAGACATGTGCTTGGTATTTTTCAGAAATTTTGGGGTAATATTGTCTAATCCCGCTGAAGAAGAGAGTTTGAGTTCGTCTATTAACGATAGTATTCCGGAAGCGATGAAATCAATACTGGGCCTTACAGAGACGATGCTAGATGGTAAAATTGGAAGGGGACTGTTAGTTCCATGTTCATTTGTGAACATGGAAGCGAATGCTGAGTTAAATACTTCTACGCATTCAGAATCACTAACTCCCCCGCCCGAAGGATTATTCAAAATAATACCTGGAATTCTCTTAGGATTAATTAGCTCCTAAAATTTCCTAGGTTTATTTAGAAAAATCTTCGGAATATCAGTATGAAAAAATGTTCTTTTTGTGGTTCGAATGGCATTATAATAAAAGGTTTCAGCTTCTTTATACCTATCTCATGCGCTGGCGATAGCTGCGCGTTTAGCTGCACAAAAAAGTCGTTTTTTTATTTTGAAGTCGCTTTAAAAGTTTAGGAAACCACAGATTTTGTTGATTAGAACGGAAGGTAGTACTGGGAAAAATCTTGTTTGTTAGCTCCTTAATTTTATCTTCAAAAATTAATCAGTTATCGTTCACTGATCGTTCACATAATGTTGTTTCAAAATGAGGTAGGAAGGCTTCGAGTTCAGCGTTTATTGCGTTGTAATCCCGCTTGTCGTACAGGCGTATAGTTTTACTGCATGGCTTGCGTAGTTTCGGGACGAATTCAAAAACAGCATAAACAACTTTGCGGTCGCTAATCTCAGGAAGAAGTGTAATATGTGACAAGCTTTCGGGTTTAGTTGTCATTATTAGATCCATAATTTTAGAAGTTTCACCAGCAATACGTGTAGGTTCTGTTATTAGCTGTGTCAGGTTAAAATTTAAGCAGACGTAAATAGTTCTTTTCTTCTGGAGTGGCCTGTTATTAATTGGTTGGCGTCTTGCCAATTGATGTCAGGAAAATTAAAGTCACCAAAAAGTAGGATATGCGCTGTAGGATATTTAGTAGTTAGCTGGTTGAGTATATCGTTTAAATATTGTGCGAAATTTGGGTTATTTTCCGGTACGTGGCCGATAGCACACACCTAGCAGAATTGCCTCCGGTAGCGCGCGGCAGACTAACCACAGAATTTCCAGCTTGCAAGGGATATTTATCAGTGAACAGGACAACTGGTTATTGACAGCGATAAGTACGCCCCCGCCACGTGTTTGTTTCCTGTCTTTCCGGAAAACAACAAACTCTGGCAATTCGCCAAGAACCTCACTATTCAAATTCAAATTCAAATTTTGCCTTAACCTTAAACGAGACATTTCAAAAGTTACCACAGTAATGCTGTTGGGCGAAAGCAAAAAGTCATCAAGGCTTGACGGAGGCTTTCGCAAGCAACAGCAACAGTCATTACATAATATAAAAAACAAACATTCCGCACATATAGCACTTTTTGATGCGGATGCACCTACTTTGACGCCCCGTAGCACATCTTCATCCTGACGACTAACGACAATAATCAAGATTAAAGCACTGTGGTGACTTAATCATATGGTAGTTTTGACGCGTTAAACCCCTCATATCAATCAATTAATCAAGCATTGTGGTGATTGAAATTGTTAAACAAACCTTAACTCGGACGCAGCATACTGATAATTCCGCCCAAAGATGACATCTAGAAGCACGTAGTGAACGCTGGCAGTTGATGTTGACTTATTAAAGGCGTCGTTATCTGACGGGACAGAGGTCAAGGTGTGCGCTCCCCATTAATCGCTTAAATTACACTTCTGCTCATGTATATAGTAACCTTTATAGAGCGCTTCAGGATTGAGAGAGGTAGAGTTTGTAGCTTTATCAGTAAACGCGCAATGGTGCCTTGATAACTGCTGGCGTGTCTCACTAAAACAAAGCACCTACTGAAACTGTATTGAAACAAAATGGAGTTAAAATCGGGCAACCAATCTCTACAGTCCTAAGTACAGGGTGCCTAATTGCCAGGGTTGAACGAAAGAATGCTGGCGTCGAAGTGCGCTAACGCGGAGACTACCGAAGTGTGTCCTGTCCACTCTTAGTGGTGTCGTGGTGCAGTACTTCAATTCACGCAAGACGGCGACAGTGCCTCACACCAACAAGGTCGCTGCTCAAACAAAAAAAAAGAAAAAAAGAAAGAAAAATGATGGATCATCTCTTCGAAGGGAACCACGATGGCATGCAAAGCAGCAGCGGTACTCACACCGTTGACTCAGCTGAAACGAGCGTCGACGCAGTTGCTGGAAGAATGGTTTGAAGCGAAACTTGGTGTAACCTTTACTCGAGTAAACGTTTAGCTGAAACGCAAAAGCACAGATGCGGGTTGGGTTTTGTGTAAGTCCCATTGTAGATAAACGAGCCGAAAGAGCGTTTCCACTCGACGTGCCGTCGAGCGTTGCAGGCGGTAAAGAGAGTGAAGCGAGAGAGAAGTGTGTTACGAGCGGGCAGGGCAGCAACACCACCCAGGTGTGTTGGGAAGAGCCCGCAGCTAGTGCGGATGAGAAAGAAAATGTTGTAAATGCGCAGTTTGTAACTTGACCTCATTGGCATCGTTCCAACAACTGCGGGGGGGACGGGGGGACGGGACGTGGTGTGTTGTTTCCACGGAAACACGGATAGACAGCGTTACACAGGCTAGTGATATAGCTGCTCAGCATTTAAAAAGTCACAGCATATCCACGCAGTGAATGATGAGTGGGGTGAAGCTTCGGAGAGTTGTATTGGTAAACCGTGAATCGTCCGTCGGCTGGCCGCGTCCATCCATCCATCCGTCCATCCATCCATCCGTCCATCCATCCATCCATCCATCCATCCATCCATCCATCCATCCATCCATCCATCCATCCATCCATCCATCCATCCATCCGTCCATCCATCCATCCATCCATCCATCCATCCATCCGTCCATCCATCCATCCGTCCATCCATCCGCCCATCCATCCATCCATCCATCCATCCATCCATCCATCCATCCATCCATCCATCCATCCATCCATCCATCCATCCATCCATCCATCCATCCCATCCATCCATCCATCCATCCATCCATCCATCCATCCATCCATCCATCCATCTGTCCATCTGTGTGTCTGTCTGCCTGTCCGCGCGTACATCTAGTGAGCACTCGAAGTACCACCATCTCGCGTCTTTTCATCATATACTCATCATATACAAGTACCCCTATTTAACGGACATTCCAAGGACTAAGCGAGAGGTGGCTGCCTACTACTGCTACATACGCCGAGGACGCACAACCCACAGCTTAAGGAGCTTCGCCCCTAGAAGGTGCGTTTACAATGGATCATGTATGAGCGGCGGTTGCCATGAAGTAAAACGCCCGACTCCCATCATCACGGACTGGAATGTTGTTAGTCATCCAAACCATTCAAACTTTTTTCTTTTTCTTCGTTATTTGTTCAAGTGCATTTTACTGACGCCACATACGTAACGGAAATGATTACAGAGAGATTATTCTTGGCGAACCACGGCGTAAAACACTTTAATGTAGGCAAAACAAACAATGGCCAGAGGTTACCCTTTTTGATAAGTCCTGACTTGCCACGTACATGACTCTTTAAAGAGACACGTTAACTATATTTAATGTCCCACGACTCTTCGACAAGAGTATTCAAAGACAGTCATGCGCGCCATGTCATGCGACAAAGACAGTCATGCCACGCATACATGGTCTTCAAAAGTAGTTATTACGATGCAAGGTAGAACTTGCATAAATTGTGAAAGGACATTTTTTAGAGAGCAAAATTGTTTATCATAATTTAACACTTCTTCTGGAAAGTGACGTATAATAAATTTCATGCAGTTGAAAAAATAAAGAACCAAAGTGGATTACCGGAACCTTGCGAAAACTTTTACAAGTACGTGTGTGGTGAATGGGAAGGCAGTAAAGAACTCAAATCGAAGGACTTAAAGGACAAAGCAGTAAAAGACCTGATAGGTGAGTGTTCTTATCGACCATTTCATTACGTTTTTAGCAACAGCATGCGTTACTATGTTCTTATTAAGTACATTTGCATGATATGATATATTAAAAAAAGGCAAAAGTGAACATGATGTCAAGACCTAAACACAGGCGTTGTGCTATTGACGCGGCTAGGCGGCTCAATTAAACGGCAATCATTCCAAATGTCTCTAAATAACAAAACGCTCCACAGCACTTTATAGTCCACATAAAATGAACCTGAGTTCACCTATAAGAATAACTGAACGAATGACACCAAAAATATGAAGTGTGGCCGAGTTCTCAACACTTTCATTTCACGAGTGTTCTTTTTTCTGTTATTGGGCAACCGATCGTCTTCACTAAGGATTATCTAGCGTCAGCATTGATTGAAATATTCTCTAACGTACATTTTTGCCGTAAGACAGTGATATATAATAATAAAAAAAGAAGGACGTTTGAGCTTTGTCTTAAAGAGTATAGATCGTAATGGGGCAATCGGGCATCCCCTTCTGAACTGCTAGACTGCCTCGCAGTTGCTGCTTCAGTCACACCCCGTCCTTCCTGACCAAGTTCGTTCACGCTCTTTCAATACGGGTGGGGCGCTTCCTCTCTGCTTGAGTAGCGCACGTGCCCTATAGTATACACGCAATAGAGATGGGTCGGCTCGTAGACTCGTTTCAGCTCTGCTTGAGCCATGTTCATCGCCGCCGCTCGCGCACTTTCTTACTGGCAGGTAAAACAACATGCGATGTGCGCAGGAGATGGGAGGGGGGTGGGGATTTATCAATGTGGACATTATCAGAATATGGCGGTGGCGGCGATAGCAAAAACCCGTAGAGAGCGTCAATATAATTGCTATCACAATAAAAATGAATTGAAAACGAAACAAAAACCATGCATATCTCACGTTTTTCTCCTTTTTTTTTGCTCTACACGCTCTTTTTCCCTGGCGGCTCGAATTCAATTCGCCAACCACTTGCGCGATTACCAAGGTCAAATTATAATGGTCGATAAGCTTGGGACGAAAAGTGGTCGAAAACCTATTACCACAGACGCGAACGCATGGCGGACGACTGAAGAGTGACCAAGTGAGCAGGAGACAACCAGCAAAACCTCAACACTAATTTCTTTCGAGTGCTCTTTACTTTACATATATCCAAGTAAATAAACACTGGAAATCTCCGGTTTGTCTTTTATACATTTGGTTGAATACTTGACTGCTTTATTTTTGGTCGAGTGCAGTAGATGGGGTGCTGTGTCGGCAGTAGGCTATGTGGGCTGTTGTTTAGATCGGCTAATTGTGGGGTAAACGAGGCATCGCAAAAATTTTACGTGGTGGTTTCATGCATATCTTCCGCATATTATTTATTTGTTGTTTACTGGCAGTGCGCTTCAGAAAATATCAATTAGCCCACATGATGTGTAGATAAAAGGTTCTGCAGTGAGCCCCTTTTGCTCGCGACGGCTGGCGGGCCCTCGCCCTTTGTGACGGTGAATGCAACTCACTGAGCGAAGGAACGTTGTACTGTTCGGTTGCCAAGGAGATACCTTCAAGGCTGCTGTCTCGCTACAGTGATTAGTTTTTGAACTGTCGTGATAAAGAGGTCATGAGCTGTTGCATCTTAACTTTTTCATGTGCAAAGTATTTCAGTGTATGTTACAATATTACAATAATACACATAGCTAATAAAACAAGCTTTCCACCCTTGTCCTTCTTGTTGATTTTTCTTCCATCTTATCCACGCAATTGACGAGCCATGAAGATCGAATAAAAGCGCAAAGTGTCAAAAGCATGTAAAATGTCAGCAATAAAAAAAATGAAGTTCACGCTATTTAATGCTAATAATCCTAACGACGCTGCCAGTTCCACTTGTGGAGGCTATCACGCCTATGCACATGTATGGTGCTTAATCGTAAATACATTGCCTCACCACGCCGTGACAATGGCCTCTAGTTAGCTGCACTCAATTGCACTTCGGCGTTGCGAAAAAAAAAAAAAAAAACGCCGGCCTGCGCGAAGGCGCAGCACAGTCACAGCGAAAGCTGGAAGAGCGACCTTTCAGAGCCTATTGTATACACTCATTGGGAACTGCAAGCACACTTGTACGATAACCACTACGGCCTAAGTAATAAAATTTTTGGGTAGTAGGCCGGCATTCAGTATGCTATTTTTTGTCATTCTTCTGAGAAGCGTGGTATCCGCTAAGCACTTGCAAGGAATTTTGTACCAACTGTTCATGCAGTGGCTGACGACGATGAGGAGTTATGACTGAAGTGGGAAGTGGGTCAGAACATAGAACCATACCATTGAAACGAAAGCCTTTCCATATCTCAAATAGCGTCATTAATGAAAAAGACTTGGGGTGAGGATAACATCCATCAAAAAGACGATACCGATCTCAAAATTGAGTAAAATCTGAATGACGACTCTTAAATACTGTTTTTCTTTCACAGTCATGCCTCAACACATGGGGACCGCATCAGCGCGCTTCACTAAGACAATGCTTAGGACCATAATGCCTGTGTAGCCTACACACATACTTGTTAGGAAAAAAAAAGTCCAGGGTGAAGACAGTATATATAGGCTATAGGCCGCAAGGCAGTGGGTCGCTGACCACGTGTTTGGAACCCCTGTCTTACAGTTTACTCATTATTTCTCAGGTGTGCAAGCTGAACTACAGAAGGTCTTTGAAGGTAAACGGGACTGGTTATCCAAAGTTAATTGATCTCTTTATATAACGTATGTATAATGCGTTAGGGTAAGCATGAATACATTTAAAGAATACAGCCTAATTGACAGAGTAAATCTTATATCTGTGATTGAACTTTTAATTTTAATGTGCAATACAGACTGTACGAGGTAAATGACACAAACTTTGTTGCATTGCAGTATTATTGGATGACGCCCCTAAACCAACTGCGCAAGTTTTTAATGCAACAGACAAATTGATCAGGGCCTACAAGTCATGCACGAGAACAGGTGAGAGCAACACAAAAGGAGCCATTCTTCATGTGTATCTTACTCGGTCAACAAAGAAACGAAGGAGGTGGTTGGTGGGGCCCGTTTTTTTTTGTCAGACACAGCCTAATGAGGTGAACAATGAATAAAACCAAGGAACGTATAAAGGACTATAACTGTAGCGTATGCATATATCAGGCATATAACAGCTGCATCTTGCCGGTACTTACCTACGGAACAGAAACCTGGAGGCTTACAAAGAGGGTTCAGCTTAAATTGAGGACGACGCAGCGAGCGATGGAAAGAAAACTGACCGGTGTAATGCTAAGGGGCAGATATAGAGCAGCGTGCGTAAGGAAACTTTTCGCTCCGTTGGGCGCAGTCATGTTATTGATAATTATGAACTGCAGTGTCGTAACTATGACATAAATGGAAGTTAGCTTAACTAAATTAAAATACTTTTGCTATCAATGGGGCCCGAATCTTCAAACATAGGTGTAACTGCTTTATGGAACTGCTTTTCAGAAATTGCTTTTATGACAATGATGCATGCATTGTTACTTTCTGAGAAATCTAGTTTCTTTGTGGCTTCGTGCCACAACGGTTGTCTACTTTACCTTTATTAACGCTTCCGCAACCTTGCGAATCTCTGCAAAACTCATTTGCATTGTCACTTTGTTGAAAAGATCCTTTTTGTAGGACAGTAAAGGGATTTCTTAAACACCGTAACATACATCTGTATGTTTTATGTTTGGGTATTGGCTTTGTCTACTTCCTGCTTTTCTGATAATCATGTTTAGAAAGCAGTGGGCCAAGAATGGACCGAAATATAAATAATATATATCGTAGTTTGATACCAGACACAAAAAAATACGGCAGATCTCACGTACCTGGGAATCGACGTTAGGCGAAGCATGTGAAGGGAAAGTGACCATTTTGCAAATTTTTTTTTGAGAGACACCTCATAAAATAACGCTAAATATATGTACAGATGTTGCACACAAAGACGGATGTTGAAATGTTAGAGATATTTATATAACCAGGTGTTTGCACTTGCGCAATGATGTCAACTGTAACATGCGTATTAGCAACACAAGAAGCTGATATGAAGCGCTGATTATCGCAAAGATGCTGGCCCTGGACACTGCTACATAAATCAACGTCAGTGCAGGGCACCTAGTCACAACTGACGCTAACCTGACATGACGGCTGCATTAAAGGAGTACACATGTAATGTTTATGAAATTGGGTAGGCGGCACTGCAACCACTATTGAGGTTTTACAAGATTAGCGTCTTATTTGAAAAGTAGTTCCGAGACGTGGTGTATAGCTCTGTGGTAGAATTCTCGACCTCCACGCAGATTGCTTGGGTTCGATTCTTGCTGGGACCCTGAAATTTATTACTCGCATTGTCGGGGGGTCAACGCTGCCTATATCAATTTTTTTTTAACACTGACATTTATTCTATGCCTTCGTTGGGTTGACGCTACTGATATTAGTATTGCTTAACGCTCACGCGTTAAAATTGTCCACGTGTGTTCTTGTCGTTTCTGGGTATATACTAAGTGTCAATCACCTGTGGCACATACCCGCATACTAGCGGCGCATACCCGCCCGTGGGTATGTGCCACTGTTTGGCGGCAAGTGTTTGACGACGTACGCGACGGGATTGTGACATTCTTCATGTCTTGACCAGCATGTCATACTCGTCAAACCTTCTTACCCTCCCATGCTAGTTTTGGTTCCCGCCAAGTTAAGGGGGTGACCACGAAAGCACCCATACGTAAGCGGCTAGATAGATAGATACGCTCCAAGTCAGCGAAATTTGCTAATAAATGCTTCGCATTTAAACATCTCCTCCTCCGTGACACAGTGCTTATAATACATAATGCATACGTGTATCGTAATATAGTTGAACAGTACTGATGGCCTCATTTACAATGGTTTTGTATTTTGTTTTCTTCTAATTATGAGCTCGTGTTCTAGTATTCAGCGCCATTGTATTGCTCACATTGCATCTATTTTCGCTTGATAAATTATTCCTCCATTTTTAATGAATGATGTCTAGATGTTGATAACTTGGTACGTTTATTTATATCCGGGTAGGCAGATGCATTCAGGTAGCTAGGCCACTTTCTTTTTTAGGTGTTTACACGTGTAACTAACTAACTAACTAACTAACTAACTAACTAACTAACTAACTAACTAACTAACTAACTAACTAACTAACTAACTAACTAACTAACTAACTAACTAACTAACTAACTAACTAACTAACTAACTAACTAACTAACTAACTAACTAACTAACTAACTAACTAACTAACTAACTAACTATATTAAATAATTCATTGATAACGGCATTGACTGCCGAAGAAGAGAATTCTATATGACGTACATAGTTATGTATGTAGCCAGAAAGAGAGGAACATAAATCAATGACAGGGAGGTTAACCAGAAAAAGACTCCGGTTTGCCAGCCTGTGCTTGGCAAGGCGAAAAGGGGTGTGAAACAGTGAAAGAGATGAAGAGTTTGTGACAGTAGAAAGAAAGTGTAGCCAGAAACACACTTAAAGAATAAATGACATAATTTGCAGGAAAAAATCAATCGAAACTGAAAAAGTCGGTCAAGACGGTCCTGGCAGCGTATGGTTTGAAAGCTTGGCCTGTTGTGAACGAAAATAATGTACATGGAAATAAGAACTACAAACAGATACTACGAAAAACAGGCCCTCGCCCCTTGTTTGACTATTTTGTGTCAAGCGAGGGACCGTACCCAATAATTACTGTGAGTAATATTCATTTTCATTTGTTATGTTGTGTTAATTCTAATAAAACGTTTTATATGGAGTATATATTTTTACAGATGACCAAACCTGAGCAGTTTTTTGTGTCTGAGGCGAATGTTGGCTTCCGTGAAGCTTCGCTCTTCGCTCGAAGTGATGAAGGTGAGGAAGTGACGGATCAGTACGATGGTTACGAAGACATCTACGAGAAAGTCGATGAAGCATACGAAAATTTCATAGAAAAGGCATTAGAGCTGCTGAACGACACTTTAAAAGACCAGAAAACAAATATATCCAAGAGCATCATCAATTTTGAAAAGAAGCTTTACAACGTGAGTGTTATTACATATATTTGTGCAGCGAGATTTATAACATATCAAGATAATAATATGAGAAAGACAAATGAAAACATAAGTGTTCAATAATTGTTAAGCATTTAATTATGGTTGATATGTGGGGCTTAACGTCCCAAAACCACCATATGATTATGAGAAATGCCATATGGGAGAGCCCCGAAAATTTCAATTACCTGCGGTTCTTTAACGTGCACCGAAATCTGAGCACACGGGCCTAGAGCATTTCCGCCTTTATCGGGAATGCAGCCGCCGCAGCCGGGATTCAATCCCGTGACCTGCGGGTCAGCAGCCGAGTACCTTAACCACTAGACCACCGTGGCGGGGCCACACTAGGGACAGAATATATAGTTATTCCGTTTAACTCCTAAAGGCGATGTCCCCCAATTTTCGGTTTACACCAAGTTAAGGTGGTGTAAACCGAAAATTGGGTGGTGTAAACCAAAAAGGTAAAGTAAACGAGAGCACCCAGCCGTAGGTAGCTAGATAGATACGTAGGTAGAAATGCTTCGTTTTTTCAAAAAAAAAAAAAAAGGCGTGACCTTTCAAATAAAAGGTGTCACAAATATTGACGTGAGGTGCATTCTGGCATATTATGCAAGAACGGCTTCACTGAATCTGAAGAAATAAGTTAGTGAACAGGGAACTTCATGGCTTTTGTGCTGCAAGCTTGATTGTGGTAGCGTTGGCGGCTGCATTTCCGATGGAGGCGGAAATGTTGTAGGCCCGTGTGCTCAGATTTGGGTGCACGTTAAAGAACCCCAGGTGGTCAAAATTTCCGGAGCCCTCCCCTACGGCGTCTCTCATAATCATATGGTGGTTTTGGGACGTTAAACCCCGCAAATCAACCAATCAATCATGATTGTGGTAGCATAGTGTATACGACTAGGAAAAGTTTTTTCCTGCTGTTTGCAAAAAAAAAAAAACATATTACAGGATAACGTTGAAAAACGATATGCTTATGCAGACTAGCAGTTGACAAAGTAGATGATAAGTACATGTTTGCATTGTCATTTGAATAAACAAAGCTGCACGGCTCATTAAACGCATGCAGAGTAATTCTTCAATATTTTATAATTTTGGTGAGATTGGACATAATTAGCAGAAGAATAAGCAGTTAAGCATTAATGAATATTGCATGCCTCGTCCATGCTGCGCAGCCAAGGCTAAAACAACGAAACTGTGTTCGGTATTGAAACTCAGGTAATGTCATGACACTTGGTTAGTTACATTGTTTCTCCTCAATTTAAACAGAAAATGAAGACATTTGCTGAGAGTCTTTCTTCATCTTTCCGCAGTGAACACCTGTACAGAAGCTGAAACAGGCATTAAGTTCCGATTAAATTAATCTTAGCCATGTACTAGAACACAGCACGTTGAACATGAAGTGAGTGCTGTTTATACGTTTCACATCAACTGGTTCTAGGGCACTGCTTTTTGAAGGTAATGTTTGAACCATCTTACATTTGGCTGCACAAAGCTGCTGATGATATGGAAAAGCCGAGAAAATATGCTTTAGGAAGAGAACGTCTATAAGTTGGGTCGTAAAGAACTAAAGATATGTATTTATTGTCGCTAGCAGTGTTATAAGAAAATAAAACACTTTGCTTGCTCCAGAAAATGACAAAACGCCCAAATGCAACTGAATGTACCTACAATGTACAAAAAAACCTTTGAAAGACAGAACTCGAAAAGAAACTAGTTTAGCTCTTTGCAGCGGACTTAAAAGTCATGAGAATGAGCCGTCATGAACAAACCGTAAATAGCACAATGTGCCAATAGACGTTTCCTATAACATAATTTACGTACTACTTATAGCCACAAAGAACGTGAGTATCGCGGACCTGAATGATAATTTCAGAATAAGTAATTATTACTGAACTAGCTATTGTTTCCACAAATCAAAACTTATTCTTTAAAGTGTAGCATTGTAATGCGAACGCACCACGCCCCTTATTGTACAACCGAATATTAGGTGAATTCTTGTACGGTGTTCCTTAAACAGGTAGGAAAATACCTTGAGGGAAAAACCGGAAAGTGAAAGCATTATCACGGTGCTTTTTCTAATAGGAGAACACCGCTTTCGCAGCACTTGTGTATAAAGCCGGAGGGATGGCAAACGCATTTTATCACTTTCGAAGCCCATGCTTTGAAATACGAATAGCTGTGCCATGAATGGTGAGCTTTCTGATCCAGTCTTTTGCTGAACCAGGCTTCTTGGTCTGTATGATATTGCAGTCCACGTGGCCGCTGCAGTGAATGTCTCTTTTCTGGATGGGGACACAAAGTATTTGGGAAGGAGTGCCTGCCCTTCTTCCCAAACGCTCCTTTCATGATCGCTTCCAGACACCAAGACATTGAGTTTCTTACATTTGATAATTTTTTGAGCGCCAAGGCAAAGTAAAAACGTCTCTACTAAGTATAGCAATTTATCTTTTGCGAATTATACGAAGGAAAGAAATATTGAAGCTCTTAAGCTACACGTGGCTTTTGTGCCAACGAAAACTATCCCATCTTCATCATCACGAAGTAGATATACCAATGTAACGTTTTCTTTAAAAAAGAATTGTATGCCTTGTGAACCACCATATTCAATATTTTGTTAAGAATACTCTGTTTTTGAGAGATATTCGGAGGTCATAAGAGTACTTATGTATTTCATCTTCCTATTTTATGTTATTTATTTTTTCCAGCTCACTTCTCAAGCCAGACCAGCTAAAACACAAATGAAACTTTCAAACTTCTCCAGGACCTTAGGGATCAATGTAAGTTAACCATTCTTACTTTTGAGTTTTCTGAGGAGTGATCGTATAGGTAATGTATCAACTATTCCTAATGTGCATGAAGTAAAAACCGGCAGGCCTGTGCTGAATGCGCAGCACTGTATCAGTGAATGCTAGAAGAGTGGCGTTTATGGGCCATTTTTTAACACTCTTTAGGTAGCTGCTGCAAGTACACTTGTATGGGGCCCACTACGCCATCTATCTTGCGTAATAGGCAGGCGCACAGCCACGCTCAGCGCGGGGAAGACATGGAAGGTGGTCAGGAAGAGGAATCGGAAGAGCCTTGAATCTGTGGCACACACTCACGTTGGGAGATTGGCCAAGAACCGGGTAGTTTTAACGAAATACTGTTAGCTTGTTAGCTCTTTAATGTAACGCGAGGTATCAAGGGGAAACTATGCGGAATCGACAATTAGAGATAATGGATATAGAAAATGAAGCAGATATTTTCAGTAACAACGATTAATAAATGAATAAAGAAAACCATCAGAAAACAGGTATATTAGGAGTAGTAGAATGTTCCACAGCCTGAATCTCTTTGAAGCTTTAATAAACTCCAGTGCATCGGAAACTTTCCCGTCACTGAATCCTAGGCACAAATCCCCGAAAGAAAGTACATTTGGGGTGTTCAACTCTAATCTTCTGCATCTAATGTAGTTTCGCGCTATACGGCGTATCTTTTACAATATATTACATGATAGACTGTTGTCTCAGGAGCTCTGTAAAACAAACAATTAGGGGAAGCAGCCACACCAGCTCTGTGTAAATAAAAATTGAGATAAAGAGTTTGACACCACCGCCTAGCGAGTGCGACTTCAACTGCACGCGGGTGACATATTTTACTATTCCAACGATAACTTAGGTGTTTAAATTCTAATGAGTTTATAAGAAATGGCAAACAAAATTCTTCTAACATCATTTCCCTTCTAAATCTAGCCCATATAACGAATATAGATGCCGGTAATATGTGAATAGCGTGTTCATTTAACGATGACTTAGCTAATGCATCCGCCATTTCTTTGAGAAAAAGTGCTTTATGTCCTAGTACCCAAACCAATATAATCAAAAGTATATAATGTGGAACTAATTATTTTAAGGTACTCAGCACCTGGTAGTTCTCATTTGCTGTGAGAGAAGAACATACGGACAGCGAATCAGTTAACTTTATTGCCGAACTATTTGATGCTGTTAATTTGTGGAGCGCCAAAATTATTGCGAAATACTCTGTTTTAAAATGGGTACAAAAAATGATATGCGTGGAGAAAATGACTAATCTAGATTGGGAGCGAAGTTCTCAATTAAACACTTTCTTCATTTTACGAATTATTCATCGCAATGTCTGTCTTAATTAGTGAATGAACCAGATCATTTTCGGAATAGATTTTAAAAGGCGGTGTGACATTAGTTTTGCCTGTTTTGGAAAACTTTCGCCAAACTGTATTTTGATAGAGCTGTTGCTATCTCTGATTGGGGACACGTCTTTAATATGAACCCTTAAGTTGTCAAGAAACCTTTGTGTATGACGAACTTAAGGCATGTGAAATCTCGGCCAGTGTGCTCCAAAGAACAACTCGGTCTGGGAGATAAAAACTGTTTCGAAATGCCTTACTGGGGATTCATAAAGCTTCAAAAATGATTGTACCACCAGCGATTTCAAACGCGAATCAAGTGATGGGAGTCTAACTTCCAGATACAAGGCTTTATTGATACAAGTTTAGGAAGATCTAAACAAAGTCGCAAGGCTTGTTGCTCAAGGATTACAAGAAGGTGGAGCTTGTAAACAGACCTGGCGGTTTCGGATAGTTGGTATGACATGACGATTGTTATAGCGCGAGAACAGAACGGCGACAAAGGGACAAGAAGATGACGAGTGCTAACTTCCAACTGAGTTTATTGTGTAGAGCGCGAAAACACGTAAGACATCTATAGCGTCAGCGTATAATATTCAACCACCGGCCGAAGGTACATGCAGTATATTGAAAAAAGCGTTTGCGTTCGCATGCCAAATCGACTATGACTAATTTTATTTAACAAACTAACCACCCTAACGCCCTTTGATGCTATGTATTTGATCTGTGCCTTCCAAGACACTATAGAGATGTCGTATACCAGACAAAGGTATTTTATTTGCTGTACTTGTGGAATATGATCTAGATAACAACAAAGCGAAATATGAATGTGGTCTCTCAAAGGAAATGGCAGTACGTCACTTTTTCCGACATTCAGATGCAGGTGTATTTCATCAAGCCACTCGGTGGTTAGCGTGCTCCCTCTTCATCATCATCTTCATCTTCTGCTTCGGTCTTCACACATAAAAAGAGGAAACGAAAGAGAAATGAAGAGAAAGCGAGATAGAAAGAAAGAGGTAGAGAGAGAAAGGGAAGAGAAAAAAATTGGCCCCGTATCTGTATGTTAACTGCAAATGTCGTCGAAAGACGATAGTATTGCGTGTGGAGAGAGTGAACAAAACATTTATTTGATGTTCTGTGCAAGAAAATCGGTGAATGGTATTCTGGAGGCGCTGCGTTAGAGTGCCTCGAGCGTGAAGCGGAGGCGAACGAGCGCATCAAGTCACGTCACATGTGAGACATGAGCGGAATCGGCCTGTTATCTTGGAAAACGAAGCGCGTGGCTCAGAGACAAGCGTGCGCGCCCGTCTCAAAGGTGATAAGGAGTAGAAGGCAAGGCAGTGGGTAGATGCCATCACCACGTCTTAGCAAAGCGTTGGAAGCACTCGCCTTTTCGTGCAAGCGTTGCATGCTCAACGCAGCGTGATAAGCGGTACGGTCTTTAGAATTACTTATGTATGCCTTTTCTAGTAAAAGGCATACATAAAAAATGAATGTGCGTCTAGTAAAAGACGCACATTCAGAATATATACGTGTTGTTATGGTGCCCCAGACATGCGTAATAATTGCTTTTTAATTGACATTCGCACAATATGAGCGCTAAATCTTGAGGAACATTGGTGGGCGCTGCGGATGGGGTAGGCCGTTTCAAGTATCCGGTGCTGTTAAGAGTGGACAAACAGAGAAATGTACCGACAGACAGATCAAAATTTTTGCATCGAAGGTCCTCAACAAAGAAAGACTATCGTTTTTTTTTAAAAAAAAGCTATAGGAATAGATAGGCAGAGACGGACAGAAACAGACAGACAGCATGGAATAGAGTAAGCAAATATTAAGACGTAAAAAATAACAAAGGAGCGAGAAATACGGACAGAGGAAAAGAAAGACAGAAAACTGTGACAATAAAGATGAGAACCGGTAAGAGAAAGAAAAAGAGAGGAAGATAAGAAGAAAAAAGGGAAAGAAAAAGAAATTTAGAAAGCCATCCAGCGGCGTTTTTTTTTTCAGGATTGTTTCTACTATAGTAGGAAAGTGCTTTAATTTTTTTTTTTTTGGGGTGGGGGGCTGGGCTTTAAGACTTCACGTCAGTTTCTTTCCTATGATTTTTTTCTGCAATGATTAATACGGTCAGTAATCCAGCCTAACATTTTCGTGGTGCAGGAATTGATTATTAAGAAGATGCAAAAGCAGAATGACAGCTGTTTACATTTTGTTTAGTTGTAAGCTTTTAGCACTAGCTGTGATAGAAATATGCAAAGGACAATTTATGACTAAGTGTTCAACATCCGACATTATATATGTGTTCCTTGGAATCACTTGAACTTAACGCCTTATTTCTGCACCACAAAAAGCACAGTTGTTGAATCTTTTGACAACGAGCTTCCATTTAATAAGTGCCTTATATAACATATTCTGTACTTTTACCATCGCAAGATCAACTTGGTATAGTAGGACTCCTTGTTAACGTGTTTCCTGTTATATGTCACAAATGCATTTATTCTTTGTTTTAATTCAAAGAGATGCTATTAAGACACCCATTTGGTCCATAAAGAAGCGAATGATGAGATGTATCGGACAATAACACACTCTAATTTTCAACGTTTCTCATGTAGATTCCGATGGTGAATATCATCAACAAAGATATGAAAGTCATCAATTATTCTGTAAGCGGTAATACAACTATAGAAGTGGAGTATATTGATTATTACAAAGAGGTCTTTAAATATCTGGAAAATACATCGGTGTTGTAAGTATATGAAAGCTTGCGTAAAGTCTCGGGCTTCTCTGTGCAAACATGCGCCACGCCGAGTTTTCCCGGCGTGGTGAGAGCTGAGTACAAGCGTCAAAAGGCCCGCGCTTTTACCGGGGGGGGGGGGGGGGGGGGGGGGCTACCAGGGTTGCCACTGACTTTCGAGACAATATCGCCAAACGACTTACGAAAAGTCACCAAAAGTTATTATTTTTCTTCAGGTTCCGCCAAAAAACAAAATGTCGCCATTATAGATACATGTGACATTTCTAGTAACAAGAATTGCCAATTATGTATAGCCCTGCAGAATACAGTGCTATCCGAAACCCTTAAATTATACTGACGCTTTTCAACGCCAATCACATTGCCCGCTTCACCGTGGGAGGGCATCGTGTGCCTTTCTCTCCGATTAGCCGCGAGATGGGCTTGGTGGCGTAAGGGTTGCCACCTGTAATAAATGGAACTCTCATCGTATCTTTCCACCAGAGTCTGCTGTTTCTAACTGTGAAAGTGTAGTAGACATAGAGTACAAAATGTGAAAGCGTTGTTTGAAGACAGCTTCACTTTCCCACATATAGATTAGATGGTTTATTTAAGGTAACACAGCAGAAGTCTTAAAAGAACAACTCATTAGTAAATCGTACCTTTTAAGTATGAACCAGTGTAACACCAGATGCAGTGTCCACATCTTATAGTCATATCTACATCAGTAGACCGATGCGCATCAGGCATAAAATTAAGTCAGCAAGTAGACAGGATAAAATTTTACATAGCGACTGTTCTTATTGCACACACCGTGCATCTACCACTCGGTCATAAATATCCCTTTAGTTCCGTCACACACACTTTCGGAGTTTCATGGAAGTGACACTTTTGGTAAACGC